CTCCCTCACATTCTAATGGGGCAGATAAGTATGACATACAACATGCAAACAACCATGCACAGTTGTTGTTGTTTTATAATTTTTCAGTCTTGTCTAGCTCTTTATGACTCTATTTGAGGTTTTCTTGGCAAAAATACTGGAGTGGTTTGCCATTTTCTTCTCCAGCTCACTTTATAGGTGAAGAAACTGAGGCAAACAGGGTTAAGTGACTTGCTCAGGGCCACACAGCTAGTAAGTGTCGGAGGCTGGATTTGAACATAGAGAAGTTTTCCTGACTCCAGGCCAGGCACTCTATCCACCATACCACTTAGCTGCCCCCATGTTAAAGGGACGAGATTTTTATATTTGGTCCTGGAAATAAGAGGGAGATCACTGGAGTTGACTGAATTTAGGAGGTTATAGTCAGATCTGCACTTGAGTGGAGGATGAACTGAAGAGGCAGGGAGGCCAAACAGAGGCTACTGCAGAAGTCCTAGTGTGAGGGGATGAACACCTGCTTCCTAAACTAATCATGTGCAGCATTGATTCATGAGGTTTGTGATTCATGAGTTTTTAATAAATCACACTACATATAGTCACATGCTTTCCAGTTTATAGAAAAGTAAGCTAAAGCAACAGAAGTCTTTCTGGCTTGTAAAAAAAAAAATCAAATGCAAAATAAGGAGAGGAGGGAAGAAAATATGTGAAGCTGGGTGGAGCAGTGGATAGAGTGGTAGGCCTAAAGTCGGGAAGACTCAATTTAGTGAGTTCAAATCCAGCCTGAGACACTTACTAGTTGTGTGACCCTGGGCAAGTCACTTGATCCTCTTTGCCTCAGTTTCCTCATCTGTAAAATAAGCTAGAGAAGGAAATGGCAAACCACACCAGTATCTCTGCCAAGAAAACCCCAAATGGGGTCATGAAGAGTAGGACACAACTGAACAATAAAGAAGTAAGAAAACATCTTTTACCTTCTGACTGTCCAAACAAACCAATCTATGACCCCTTTCTCCCAAAGACCCATGTTACCAAATGTTTTTGTTCTCTGTGCTTTTCATTATTTTTCTATTCACAACTGACTCTGGCTTTTATTTTGGGGCCATTGTGTCATCCCATGTTCCTTTTGAGTCTGTATCTTACTTAGACAACCTCAAGGAACACCCATGACACCTGTTAACCTTTTGCTCTTTTGCCTTTATGTACTGCTCATACAATTTAAACTGTCATGTACTTAGAATTGCTATTCATTCATTGGTGAAAAATTCATGAACATTTCAAGGTCAGTTGTCTCTTTTTGTTCTTTCTGTTTTCATAGAGCATGAAACCGGAAGAGACTGAATCTTTTTTTTTTTTTTCATTTTCCCTGCCTCAAGGCAGAATTGTTTTTATTTAAAATTTTTTAAATTTTTTATTTTAATTTAAAAAAAAAAAACCTTCCCAACCCAGTGACTGCCTTTTCTGTTCCTATAGATCTCTAGGGTTCAAGTCTAGCCTCAAAAACATACCAGCTGTGTGACCCTGAGCCAGTTACTTCTCTCAGGCTCAGTTTACTCATCTTTAAAATGGGGATAATAATAACAGCTACCTCAGGGATGTTGTATAGGGGCAGGTGGGTGGCAAAGTGGAAAGAAAGCTGGGACTGAAATCAGGAAGACTCATCTTCCTGAGAAACTCTGGCCTCAGACACTTACTAGCTATGTGACCCTGGGCAATGAGAGGATGAACACCTCATTTTCCTTATCTGTAAAATGAGCTGGAGAAAGAAATGACAAACCATTCCGGTGTCTTTGCCAAGAAAAACCCAAATGGGGTCACAAAGAGCCAGATGCTGGACAACAACAAAAATTAGAAATATCCTTTCGCTTTATCCTCCTTCACTTTAACCCTGAGAGGTATGTACTATTGTTAATATCTCCATTTTACAAATGAAGAAACTGAGGAAGATGGTGGCAAAGTGCGTTATCTAGGGTCACGCTGCTAGTAACTGTCTGAGATCATCTTGCTGACTTCAGATTCAGCATTCTATCCACTGTGCAACCCAGCTGTCTGTAACAAAATTTAATGCCTAGTTAGTGAGAATTAGTTAGAATAGGAAAGCTATCAGAGAGAAAACTCCCTTCTATGCTGCCACAGTCTGCCCCATGTAGCAATCTTGGCCTTGTGCTAATGTACCAGACTGTCTGTCTCCCCTGCCCTACCTTAGTTGTGAGAAACCACCTCCTGTTGCTTCTTCTGGGTGGAATCTCAAGTACTTGCCTCAAGAACACCAATTCTGAGTTACAGTTCTGTTGTCCTAACAAAGACGAGCAAGAAAGACAACACCAGGGGCAGGAAGGTGGCGCAGTGGATAGAGCACCAGCCCTAAAGTCAGGAAGACTTGAGTTCAAATCCGGCCTCAGACCAAACACTTGACCCTTACTAGCTGTGTGACCCTGGGCAAGTCATTTGACCCCAGTTGCCTAAAAAGAAAAAGAAAAAGAAAAAAAAAAGACAACACCAAAAAGAGTTTATTCTCATGTAATGCCAAAAGAAAGCAGAGTATACTACCTGAAAAAGAAGCATCTTAAAAACTTGAGTTCTTATGCTTTCATTAGTCTGAACTATCCGGTCCATTTATTGCAACATGTACTCAATATTTTAAATGTAGAATAAGCTTGGGTGGGTGATAACAAGTGTACCTGCGCATGTGTGGAAGGAGGGAGATTCTTGGGGTTGAGATGTGATTCTGCTATTTTAGGGAATTGCATTTCCCATCTCAGTGTGTTCAGTTTACTTGGTGATGAGAGCAAAGTCAGGTGCCAGCCTCAAGGGAGCTCCCAATTGGTGACCTAAGATTATTGATGTCACAGGAGATGCTAATTTAACTGCTTGATGGCTGATTTCGTGTGTGGTACATTTCAGTATATATTTTCATAGCTGCATTTCCAAATGAAGCTTTACAAGATAAACAGTGTTAGAGGGGTTTATTTTTCCGGATAATTTGAAGATGGCTTAGGTTCTGAAAGGACTACATCACACTCACCATCTGTTTCCTCCTGATTATGTGTGGCTTACACCAAAGTTGTTATGATTGATTTATTTATTTGCAGCTTAGAAACCAATATGAAAATTTCAAACAGACTTTAGTGGAAGGTGTGTTTGGAAGCTTTAATTGAAATAGTAATTTTCATTTGTTTTTTGATACAGGAAAAAAACTAGAATACAGAAATGGACCTTCAAATTATTTCAATAACTGATTTTTTTCTTTAAAGATCTTTAATAGATTTAATTTGTTGGAGTTTTGAAGGAATTCCTTCACTATGGTTCATATGAAATAGCGCCCAAAAGGATCCAGTTGTCAAGGTAGATAACAGTTGGCCAAAGTGCTGTATGTGAACCATGGACTTAATGAGGTGTTTGTTATATATATAACATATATGTTAACTTCCTGCTTCTTCCCACACACACACACACACATACCTACAAACTTGTTCTGGGTAACATGGATTTTTGATACTTATATGAATTATTCAGCATTTAGAAGCTAAGACCTTCAAAGTAAATCTATGGTGTTACATCACCCAGCATTTATTAATCACTTATTATATGCCAGCTAGGCAGCTAGGTGGTGCAGTGGATAGAGTGCTGGCCTTGGAGTCAGGAAGACCTGAGTTCATATCTGACCTCAGACATTTACTAACTATGTGACCCTGGGCAAGTCACTTAACCCTCATTGCCTCAGTTTCCTCATTTGTCAAATGAGCTAGAGAAGGAAATGAATGGCAAACTACTCCAGTATCTTTGCCAAGAGAACTTTACCAAATGGTTCATGGAGAGTTGGCCATGACTGAAACAACACAACAATTACAAACGACAACAACAACAATGTCCTATGCTAAATGCTACGGATTCAAAGAAAGGCAAAAAACCAGACACTGTTTTCAAGGAACTCTGTGTCTTTCCATTGATGTAGTACAGATATACTACAAAGTATCAGATATATGGGGAAACTTCTGAAGGGGGTGAGGTATAGATAACATAATTCTAGGCTTCTATGTAATAAAAAGACTGATTTTGCTTCCATCTATGAGTCTAGTTTATGAGTTGAGAAGAGATCAGTTTGGGGGCATTGAAGTGTATATAGACTGCTGGACATGCAGGCAGAAAGACCCAAGTTCAAATCCCACCTCAGATATTTATTTAGCTCTGTGACCCTGGGCAAGTCACTTTTTTTCTCTCAGGCTCATTTTCCTCATCTATAAAAGGGGGATAATAATAGCACCTACCTCATAGGATTGTTACAATAATCAAACAAGGTAATATATATAAAGTGCTTTGCAAACCTTAAAATAAAAAAAAAGATCAATTTCATAGAGTAGGTTCTTGGCTTTATGCCGAATTCTAAAGGAAAATCAAGATGGCTTTTGTTTATTGGGAATCAAATTTAATAAGATTTGGCTGTAAATCAGCCCATCTCATTGAAATGAAATGCATGTTCTTTTTTTTATTAGAAGAAAAACAAAAGAGTAGTAAGTAAATGCAAATTTTTTTGAGGTTTGTTTTTTAATTCATTTATGAGACTTGTGAGGGAGCTGGAAAGCATTGTGCATCATTAACATTCAGTGCTCTTTTGAACACCAACATGCCTGAGGACACAGTGGGGGTATTGGCAGAACTCTCTGCAAACCCGGGACATAGTTCAGCACATCTGAGTGGAAAGTGTTCCTTGCCAAACAAAGCAGTGTTATCAGTTTCCTTTCTCCTCTACTCTAAAACAGACAGGGGATAACAGACAGTGTAGAATTTCCCGGTTTGCTTCAAGAAAGCCAGCATCCATTTCCCCTCCCTTCCTTTTGGTTGTAGTTTGTTTGAATTTGAAACTTCCTGAGATTTCATTAGGAAAAAAAAAAAACCCAACCATATTTGAAAAGTGTATTTGCTTTCCACTGTCAGAGCATGTCCATAAAGACCTACAGTCTCACTTGAGAACAAATCCTCCTTTAGGAAGGAAACCTCCTAGATTTAAAAACAAATCAGCAAAGAGAGAGGTACTTTTTTTTCCAAACAGCCCTTCCTCTTCTATTAATAATTTGCTTCTGTTCTCCTGGCCCCAGCACAGTGGTGGCCCTAGGGGAACATCGGATGGTGTAGTCACAGGAATGAGAAGCAAAGAGAACGAATATCAGCTTTAGATTTCTGCCTGAGTGAATACTGATGTGTGAACTTGAGAACAAGAAACTCAGGCTCTTACTCTGGAACAGTAGCATCCGAGAAGAACCGGGATATGGATGTGAATTGAGAGATACCACTGAAATCTAACTGATGTATGAAAGAGATTTTGGAATCATCAGTTCCAGTTTTGGCAATGGATTCTCTTCTGATGTGGATTCTTCTCTTTCCTAGACTGCTGTCTAAAATTGCTTAGGTAATTATGGCTCTGAATGGCATTAGGAAACCAGTAGATATATTTGAACTTTGTTAGTAGGGTTTGTCCAAATCCCATCTGGCTCAGTGGGAAAGAAAAAGTTTTGACTTCCGGGTAATGGAAAGCAGAGAATGTGTTCAGATGAAAGAATCAATAGGTCACTATTAGGTGTGAAGTGTGATCGCCATAGAAAGGACTGTCCTTATAACTTTGAAGCTATTTTTGCATGATTTGGCCAAATGAAGACAATCATGGTATTTGTCTCTCTCTCTCATGTTTGGCAAAGAAAAATATGAAGACCACTTTTTGAGGGAAAACAAACAGGTAGTTTTCACAGCTAGCTACATTTACCCAATCATCTCCCTGGATTTTTCCTCCCCCCCCTTTTTTTTGCATTTAAATACCATAATAACTGGGATTGTTGAAAAGGGAGGAAGCTCTGTTGCCACCAGCACTGGAAACTTTTGTTTGGCTATTTCATGAGTCCAGTCCTTGAAGAATCTTTCCCATTGAGTGTCTCTGTGGAAAAGACAAAAAAAAACAACAACAAAACACTCATGTCTCAGCACGGATCATCAAGAGAAGGCCAAGAGGGTCATCAATACCGAATCCTAAGGAGAGTGAGTCAGGCTCTTCATGGCTTTTCATCAGCAATCCTGCGCCCTTTTCAAAAGAGAAACTGGAGAAACAATTCAAGGCATACATGTTCTGGTGAGCTGACACTGTGAATGTGTGTGTGTGTGTGTGTGTGTGTGTGTGTGTGTGTGGTTGCTATTCATGGTACTCTCAGGGTCAGATAATGAACTTTTAGAATAAATAGATAAGAAAGAGGGAACCTCTTCACATCAGAGATATTTCAAGAACTGGTTAGTAATAAATGTCTGCCATGTGCTAAATTGAAAAAAAGGAAGGAGAAATGATGGTGCTTTTATTTAAGTTGTTTCTTTAAGACTTAGTATCAGTCTAAGATTTCTGGATTATCCCAAACCTGACTTCAGGTTTCCCATGTTTCTTTTGAAGGTACTGGTGAAATAGTGTTGCCCTAGTTTCTCTGATACTTGCAACTATAAATTTCTGTGTGTTGCTGTGATTGAAATGTGACTCTCCACAAATTAAGCTAAATTCCTCTGATCAATAGGCAAGTTTATACACACATACACATACAGAGAGAGAGAGAGAGAGAGGAATGACCTTTGATTTATTTTGATTTGATTAAAGATATGTTATTTGTATTGTCGTACATCTCCCAGTAAGTCAGTCTGACCCTGGTCTATTGAGTGCTATTAACATGCCACATACATACATTATAGCACAGCATAATATGGGTCAATGTTGATTTCATTTAAAAATTATATTTTATTCATGGGGGAATGTAGGAAGCAAAGTAGAACTAGTATATATATGTAAATATATGTAAATTTTCTTTTCAGTCTTCATTGTATAAATCAGTTTTCAATCAGAAGACTTAGAAGAGGTGGTCCTCTGAAAATTTAACAATTCTATTCATAGAATTTAAATTTCTTTAGAGAATTTTTTAAGTAATTTGGTTGCTTAGATTGCTCTAAATGATGAATTTAATGGAACTGTTAAATTCAGAAAGGATAATATTTTGCCTGATCCTTAATTATTGCTCTAGGTACTATTTTTATTTGTTACTCCTTCAAGGAGTGAATCTTATTTTATAGATGAGCAAATTAGATCCATTGAAAAGTTAGCTGATTTTGCCAAAGGTCACAGAGGGAGGACTCCTAACTGCTATGCCTGTTGTAACCTTTAGAGGCAGTATAAATCAGCTAGATCTTCCTAAAGGAGAGTCCGCATTTTCATCCTCAGGAGTGTGACCTGAATCAAAACTTGGAAGCAGAATTGTGAGGGAATTCTCATTCCCAGAGCATCCCCCTTCATTAGATACAGTATCAATTATTCCCCCAGTCATGGATAAAGATTAAATCAGAGCCACAAAGTTCATGGAAGGGCTCATGTCTAGAAAAGGTAATGTACCCTCCCTAAAGCCAGATGAAATGATACCATGCACTTAATTTGGCTCTTTGCTCTGGATTTGTTTTTATCTTTGCTGCTTTAGCTAAATGTTGTGAGTTTGTACTTGTCTTCGGAGCAAAAAAGATTTTCTCCATGGTACTTATCCTGTAACTTAAACCAGCCGGTTAAAAGTTGCTCCTTGAGAGGAGGTAAATACCATATTGGCAAGTGATAAGGAAGGCATGATTTTGGTACACTGGAATTCCTTACCCATGACTTGATAAGGAATCCCCCTCAGTGTATTTGAACAGAATGATGTTGGGAATAGGGATGTATTTGCCACTAGCTTTCATCAAGATGCTACTTTAGACCAGCCTAACCTAAATATTTTAGGATTATTTAGGACCTTCTTCCTCTTCCATCTGATCATAATCTTCCCAACACTTGAAATATCTAATTATTTTTTACTCTGATTACTGTCTGTGTGTGTGTGTGCGTACAGACATTTGTAGTTGCATATGAAAAAATATTCAAACACATTTGCATAATGTACACAGATGTGACAGTCACATTCAATCCTAACTATAAATATAAAATGAAAGATTTATTGCAATTTATGGCAAGAATTTAAATATTAGACCCAAGAGTCAGGTTTTCAGGTTGGTTGCCTTAAATAATTAATTGAAAATTAAATGTGTAGGGGCATGAAATGACCTTTCTACTACTTAGGTGGTGTCTGTGGTTATCAATATACTCAACCCCAAGAGTAAATTTTAAGGCCGCTAGAAAATAAATCCAAGTGGCTAATTGGTTGGGATCCCTGAAACTGTGACAGTTTCAGGATCATTGTGAACCCAGGGATGGATAAATTAAAATGGTACTTCATTACATTATAGCTTATGACACATAGCATTACTTGCTTTTCAGAGAGCTTTTGCATTTATGATCTCATTTTCTTCTAGTAATATTACCCTTTGGAAACCGGCATGGTGTATTCTTCTTTATGGTCTGTTTCTGTGGTCATTGTTGTCAGAGGAGTTGTTTGGTGCTGTGCAAAGATCTCTCCCTAGATGTGAATTACTAGTTTAGCTTCTCATTGCTATCTATTTCATTTACCCAGGAATTAACTACAGTCCCTAAATACCTTCAGACTGCTTGCCAAAATTTTTTTAGGAACTCTAGTCCCCTTTCCCTACAGATGATTTTCCTGGTCCTTTTCTTTTTTTGGAATCAAGACAGATGGAATAAATGTCATTTTCTTCACGTCTCTGCGGGAGGATTGCAACAGAATGCCATAGAGTTGGCCACTAGGATGACCACTGAATATTTTCCTAGAGGAAATGAGTTTTAAGAACATGCTCAGGGGCAAGCTGGGTGGCACAGTGGATAGAGTACCAGTCCTGGAGTTAGGAGGACCTAAGTTCTAATTCAGCCTCGGACACTTACTAGCTGTATAAGCCTGGGCAAGTCACTTAACCCCAATTGCCTCCAAAACAAAACAAAAAAAAAATCCCCCAAAGACCATGCTGAGCAGAGGCAAATGAGAGCAGCAAGAAATTAAGACTTGGTTGCTATGATTTTTTTTTTAGCGATCATCTCACCTTGCAAACAGGACACCAAAATGGCGAACATGGTTTTGCACCAATGTCTATTTGAGAGGATGACATCAGAGAAGGATCTCATGAAAAACTTAACAAAGTCCTCTAAACGAAATTATTGTCTTTGTTGATATTGAGTGACTTCATTACAAAAACAGACACTGGGAGAGAGCATTGCAAACTTTATTGGAACATGCTTTGGGATTAAGAAATGAAATTCGTGCAACTGCTCTAAAATGTCAGATGGATAAATCATGAATGCTTCCTTTGAAAAGAGAAACAGAAGTTATGGAATGTGGGCCATTCTGAATAGCATCATGAAAATATGACATCTTAAGATAAAATACTGATGTAGCATTCATTTCAAAATCAGTTGCATGTGTGCAATTGGATTGGTTGTTTCTAGCAGGGGTTCTTAACATCATTTGTGTCATGGACTCCTTTAGTTGTCTTGTAAAGCCTATGGACACCCTCATAACAATTTGTTGCCTATGTTCAGAATTAAAGGAAATGTCAAATGATAGCCAGAGATTAATGAAAATAAAGATGTAAATGCTGTCTATCAAAGTTCACCGACACCACCCCACCTGCCCCAAATCTATCCATCGACTCTAGGTTAAGAACCTCTGGCTTAAAGTGATTATCAAAATAAAAGCCAAATTATAAGTGAAGATCAGAGATACACATCTGGAAGAGACCTCAGACTACCTAGTATAACCTCCCAATTTTGCAGATGAGAAAACTGAGGTCTAAGAAGGTTAAGTGACTTGTTTAAGGTCACATAAGTAGTAAGCATCAAAGATGGGATAGAGATAAAAAGACTGTATATGAGATTATAGCAGCATTAAAAACAAAAATGATGAATTCTGTCTCTATTTCTTAGAGAAGTTTAACCAAGACCTCTTGAGACCAAAATGAAGCCCAAAAAACACCTCAGCCATCAGAAGCATTTAATCTTGCCAGTGAAATGTAAATTCCTAGATTACAGAGACTGCTTCATTTTTGTCCTTGTACAACCCCCCCACCCCCACCCCCACCCCACCCAGGGTCTCCCATGGTATGTAGCACGCTTAATAAATTCTTGTTTAATTCAATCAGATTTCCAAGTGGAAGTACATGACAGCCAAGGACAATGCTAATTTAGAGTGTAAGCTAATTCTTACAGAGGAGGAGGAACATATGTAGATGAAATTGAGAAGATGTACATGAAATGAAAGGGATCTGGTGGCATTTTAGTAGCAAGCTGTTTTCATTGGTGACCACAGTGAAACAATCACATATAGAATCAATCTCTCTCTCTCTCTCTCTCTCTCTCTCTCTCTCTCTCTCACACACACACACACACACACACTCTCTCTCTCTCACTCAAACTCTCACTCTCTCACACACACACTCTTTCTCTCTCACTCTCGCTCTCTCTCTCTCACACACACAGACACACTCTCTCTCCCTCAAACTCTCACTCTCTCTCTCACACATTTTGCAGACAATGATTTTTAGCAAAATAGCTAGTTGAGTTAGAACATGGATTATGTGTGTGTGTATATACACATCTATACATATAGGATATATATATGCACATATATTAGGTCTATGTATGAGTTAGTCTATGTATGTATATACATCCAGATGCAGATATCTTGAACATAGAAGAACTAGGCCCATAATTGACTAGGAGAAAGTGCTCCATCTGGAGGGCATTTGAGAAACTTCATGCAACTTTCAGTGATCTCTTGCTGCTCCCTCCCAAGCCCACCATGGAGCCCATCTCTTTAACATCATTGCTCTCCTGGTGATTGCTCTGTGACTAAACATCATGGAATACTATTACCTCTGAGAACTCAAAATGACAAGGATTCCCAAGGACAATGGGAAAAGCTACAGTGGACTGAGCCATATTACCAACATTGATTTAAGTGGGAAAAATGTGACAAAACAAGTTCAGGACGTATATTAAGGACTGGAAGGCTGGAAGGGGAGCATCTATAGTTACTTAGCATGAGAGATGATAGGCAGGTACCCAGATTGTACATTGGTTATCCCAAGATACTGAAAAAATAAAAGAGGAAAGCTTTTAGTATAGTGAATGGCTCTTCTATGTTATTTGTCCTTCATTCTTGAAGAGGACTGATG